ATGTAGAGTATTTTCCCCATGTTTTATTCTACTTATCTCACGACAACCTCTCTGGCTTATTTACCTATGATAGTATGATACGAAAGAAACATTACGTAGATACTCGGTTGAGTAAGGTACCCGGTGTCCGTTGCGGCCCATCGATTTGGGTCGTGACATCGGGGGCCTCGGGTGTGTTCCGGGTGGGTTACGGGTCATTTTCCTCCAATTTTGAACTACTGATCATGTCTTCTAGTGTCCTTCTTCGCATTCGCTAAGTGACTTTCGCATTCGCGAAGTTCTTCTGCTGACCACCCCAAATTTCTTCTTCACATTCGCATACATTCTCTCACATTCGCGAAGGTCTGTCTTTTCCTTCATCGATTTCGCGTTCATCTCACGTATTCGCATAGTTATGCCATTCCACTCTTCACGTTCGCGTACTACTTCACGCGTTCCTAAAGAGTAGTTGTTGGGCCATAAGACTTTTCTTCTTCGCATTCGCGAAGCAAAACTGAGCAGCTTCCATTTTTTTTCATCGCGAACGCGATCCTTTCCCCGCGTTCACGATGCATAAAGACCTGGGCAGAATATATATATCTTCTAAATCGAGGGTTAGGCCATTTTTATCATATCTTGACTTGTAGAGCTCGGTTTTAAGCGATTCTTCGTGGGTTTTTCAAGTCAATCGATTGGGTAAGTGTTATTCACCTAGAATTTATTATATTCCATGATTTTATCTTTATTTTTATCCTTTAAATTGTGTTTTTGGTGGAGGAAAATGTTTGGTTTTGAAGAAAATTTTCAAAATGAAAAATCTTGATTTGAAGGATGAATTGGTATCGGAATTTGATAATTTTTGTATGGTTGAACTCGTATTGGAATGGGTATTTGGTTTTTATAAAATTTATCGGGTTCCGAGTTGTGGGCGTGGGTGTCAACTTTTGGACCAATTTTTGGATTTTGTTAAAGATTGAGACTTTATGATCCGGAATGGTTTCTTATGAGTTTTATTTGTGCTTTGAAGTTATTTTGGTTAGATTTGAGCCGTCCGGAGGTCTTTTTCACCAGAGAAGTTCATTTTAGAGTATCGGTTTGTCTTCTTTGAGGTAAGTATTTTGCCTAATCTTGTGTGAGAGATTTCCCCTTAGGATTGAGTCTTGTATGTTGATTGTGGTCCATGTACGCGAGGTGACGAGTGCGTGCTCGAACTTATTTGTGGATAGTTAGCCTTTTAGGGTTCTTAAGTCCTTATATTCACTAAATATAAAATTGTTATTGATATGATTGAGTGTCTATTTACTAGTTTCACCTCTACATGCTTAATTTGAATTAGTTGCTTATAATTCATTATTATTGCCTATTTGACTCTTATTTCACTTAACTGAAGATTTGTACCTCTCCTATTGTCATGCTATGTTTTCATACTGCCTAACTTTATATGAAATAATTATTATCTCATCCTATAATTGTTTAGTCTTAATTGAAGTTGCTATTATCTTTCCGCCACTATTCCTTAATTGAATTGCTGAATAACCTTCGTAATTACTCAACCTTAAAAGAAATTAGATATCTTGTATATCAGCCGACATAGCATTATTTGGAATTATTTGACTCGTGTTAGTTTCCTTGTTGTTGAATTGTATATTGTGGGATCACTGCTACATTTTAGTTTTCCCTTGTTAAGTTGTTCTCGTTACACCTAGCATTCTTCACTGTTGTTATTCCTTCCAAACGGGTTCTACCGTTTCTTTGTGAATTAAAGTTCTTGAGTTGATTTACTTGCTGTGCTTTTTCTTATTGTCATTGTTTCTATTGTACTTGTTGTGATGATGCACGAGGTTTCTGTCGTGTTGTAACTGTCATCTTTGTTGGTTGCGCTGCATCTTTATTTTGGGACTACGGAACGGTATTCTAGGAGATCCCCTTATTTACTTTGGGACTACAGAACGGTATTCCAGGAGATCCCCCTGTTCTGTACATTTATGTTTGGGACTACAAGACGGTATCTCGGGAGATCCCCAGTTGTTATCACTATGTTATGAGTTTTTTTCTTTCATTTATTCTATGTGTTGTCCGTTATTTTCCTTATACTTACTAGCTGGTATGAACTATGTTAGGACTCTTGCACAAACATACACATAGCTAAGTACCCTTATCGGATAAGAGGTTTCTTGGTATTGATGAGTATAGACGCACACCCTTGTTTACTTGCCTTCCATGTGAGAATAGCTCTATTTGGCACGTGAGTCGTCAGTGCGGTTATGAGGTGTGATGAGTGCACAGGATGCCAAGTGTTAGGGTTCAGGTATTGAGACCTGTATTGTATGATTATGAGATGAGGTGTCATAGGGTGACTTATATTCGAAAGATATTTATTTGAAATGATTATATTCGAAAGGTACTTATTTTGAAAGAACTATGTTTGAAATCTATTTATTTATTTGAAGGAAGTATATCTCGAAATATCTTTATTGGGAAAGATTATATTCTAAGATTTCTATTCGAAAACTTATGGGTGAAAGAATTATACTTGAAGGATTTGACTAATTGATTGGACTTTGTTGACTAAAAATCAAATATGAAAATTGCCGTAGTTGTTGAGTTATTATTTGTCCTTGTTGTATCTATGGTTTCGGATTTAGGTTGTGTTTTCGCTCACTCTTCTATGTCATTTCTATGGTATTCCGCTGATACTTGTTGTTCCTTTCTTATTGCAAAGTTTTGTATTGTTAGCCATATTGCGTAGACTTATGTAGATATATTATATTCTGTTGTTCCTACACTTCTGCTTGTTCTGTTTATTAGACTAGTGGGTGTCTTGACTGTTTCTCGTCACTACTCCACCAAGGTTAGTTTTGATACTTACTGGGCACCGCTGTGGTGTGCTCATACTACACTTCAGTATATTTTTTTGTACAAATCCATGTATTGATCATTAGTAGTTGTGCAGATTCTTGCCAAGGAGACTCAAGGTACCCCTCCTGCTGCGTTCGCAGGCTTCAAAGTCACCTTCCTATGTTTTTGTTCACACTGTTTTACTTATTTCTAAATAGTTGTATTTAGAAGTTGTAGCGAACTCTATAGAGCTTATGACTTGTACTGCCGGTTTTGGGAATTGTAAATTTTGTGGAGATTTCCCTTTCAAATTGTTAGATGTTCTCTATTATTGTTGTTATTCTGAAAATGTTAAGCTTACCTAGTCTCTATGACTAGGTTCCATCACGATACCCAAACGGAGAGAAAGTTGGATCATGACAACTATCTATTTACAGAGTTTTTTCACATAATGCTACATTACCGCAGAAATATTTACCTGTCGTGTTGGCACCTGCTTCTCCAATGGAGTTTTTATTCAGCAATTGTAATAGCTGGTTGTATTGTTCCTTGGTGAAGAAATCGGCAGTTTTAGCATTGTTGCTTGGTTGATACGCAGTTGGTGGAGTTCCCAACACTTGCTACTCAGTTGTATCAACTATGGCTGCATTCACTTTCCTCTTCTGCTTGAACTCATATGGATATCCAACAGTTTTGTAACAATTCTCCTTTAGATGCCCTGTCTAATTACAAAATTCACACTTCATTAGTTTGTAATATTCACACTTAGTATGACCTTTCAAATGACAAAAATCACATTCTAAATTGTAACTTCACCTTGGTCTGGTTGTTGAATGAGCAGTGAACAAGGCAGTAGGATCAATATGCCCAGCTTGCCCATAGGTACCACTAGCAATCATTTTCCTGCTTTCATCCTGAACTACCATAGCATAAACCTTATTAATAGATGGTAGAGTAGGCATCAAGAGGATTTGGCTCCTCGCTTTCTCAAAATTGTCATTCAATCCCATCAAAAACTGCATCAGCCATTGATATTCCAATTGATCAACATACTATGTAGCTGACGGAGATGGCAGTATCGAGTCATACTCTGCCCAGAGAACTTTGAGCTTGGTGAAATAAGTTGACACTGATGAAATCCCCTGTGTGAGAGTGAATATTTCCTTGTGCAAGTAATATAGTCTTGACCAATTTACTTTGTCAAATCGTTCCTTGAAGGCAGCTCAAACCTTCTGTGCATTAGAGGAAAACAGCACTCTTGTTACCAAGTCTCTGCTCACATTGCTCATAAGTCATGAAGTCGCAGTGGCATTACATGGATTCCACTTATTCACTAACTCAGAACCAAAATCTTCCTTTGATGTCGATCCATCAACTAAACACAATTTATTCTTACCTAGTAATGCAACCTTCATTGCACTACTCCAAAGAGGGTAATTCTCCATTTCTGTCAAAATGAGTCTCATTGGCATCGATCTAGGACCGTCGGAGCGATGTAGGTAAAGAGAATGATTGTGATCGAGAACGATAGAGCTAACGACTTTTCCAGTACTCGCTTCAGCTCCATTATTCACAGTATTTGCGGCATTTCTAGAAATCGCCATGGAAATGCGCAGAATTAGGGTTCAAAAATGCTAAATTTGAGTAGATTCTCTCAAATTTTTCTTCGATTGCACGAAAAATTCCCTAGAATCATTCGATTAATAGCTCTGATACCATGATGAATTTATCATTGACATGCAGCTTGAGAAGAGAAATCAATGTCGAAGAGAGAAGAGAAGAAATTCGATTCTGTTATTTTCTGTACAGTACAAATGGAAGCCCACAGTGTATATTTATACAACTACTCTAACAGACTAACTACTTGACAAATGTACTAACTATGCTAATGACCACCATTCTAACTATGGTTAAGTTAGCTAACTATAGGTGCTGATATATAAGTTCCGAATTTGTGTGACTATAAATCATCCTATCAAAAGTACAACAAAATTTTAGAGTTAAATAACTTTTAAATATAAAAAATATATCATTTTAACATACTAAAATTGTGTCATATAAGTTAAGATTGAGGGAGTAGTTATGTTTGGGTGTTTGAAGTCTTCATATTGGAGTAATACGGTAAATACTTGTCGAGTTCATAATCTATTTCTCTGATCCGATTTTGACATAAATAATAATAGAGTAAGTTGGTTGTTTTCCATCACATGTCTTACTAGCAACTGGCAAAATAGAAGAATAGGAGAGACGCCGGCCTAAGCAGCCGAATTACCACCTGTGACCTGACAAACCAAGACCACCTTTTCTTGTTTTCAACTACAACTCCCTTGGTATAAATTCACAACACTTCAGAAATTGTCGTCTCCGTTTTTTCTCCTAAATCAGCTGTCCAAATGAAGAACAAGCTTTTCCTCTGTTTTCGACCTCTTGATGTTGCAGAGGACTCTCTTATTCTCAAGCATGATGTTGATCATCACTCTTCTTCAAGAAAAAAATATCATAAAGAAAATCCAACTGTAAGTCTTTTCTGCCGGTTGTTTCTTTCACTTTAGCTTTTTTATTATCTTGTTATCGTTACTGCTTCTTTTTCATTTTTGCTTGAGCTGAAAGTCTCTTGAAAATAACTTTTCTATTTTTTCAAGATAGAAATAATGTCCGAGTACAAGCTATACTCTCCGGACCTCACTCGTAAAATTTTACTGAATTTATTTTGTTGTCCGAGTACAAACTATACTCCCCAAGTAAAATTTTACTGAGTTTATTTTGTTGTTGGGTTTATCTGAAATTTATGGTTTAAATTTTGACTAAGGTTTAATTTGCAGTTGAAAACAAAAGGTAAGAGGAGGAGGAGTAGTAGAAAAGACAAGACAATATCAAAAGCAAGCTCTTCATCATCTGAACTTTCTTACTCAACTTCATCTTTATCATCAACTACATCATCATCTTCTGACTTATCAAGATCAAACTCAAACTCAAACTCAATCTCATCAATCTCATCATACGAGCAGAAAGAAGCTAAATATGGTTCAGCTGAATGTGACAACTTATTAGTCATGAATTTAAGCTCGTTTTGTTTGTATTTTTTTGTTTTCGTTTTGTTTTTGCTCATCTATATGGGTAAGGTTTCTTCAATAGTTGTAACATCAGTAGGGCTTATAGTTTTCTCCTTAGTCGAACGCTGGAAATTGGAAAATCCTCCTATGCAGTTCCCAGAAATGAAGTAAGAAATCCCTCTGTACTCACCATGGTACAACAACGTTTAATTTCTGAGTTTTTTTCAATCAATTGTGTAAGTTTCTTCTAGGTTTTGTACACTTATCTTTTGCCGTGAAAATCTCAGGCATCATAAAAAAGAAGATAAAAGGGGTTGAAGACTTCATTTTTGTAGCTGGATAAAATCTGGAATTTTAGATAAACATCAACTCATTTTTAATAGTCTTTGCTTAATTTTTAATTATTGTTTGAAAAAAAACGTTAACATTTTTATTTAGTAAATTTTTATTTAATTCTTAATGACACCGTCATGACATATTTAAGATATAAGATTTAAATAATGGCATATATAATAGGTTATATACATTTTTAGTTTAATAATATATAAATCAAAAGTCTTCTTAATTTAATATCTAATCAAATTAAGACAAGTAAAATGAACGGGGAGAATTCAGCGTCTTGTACAAATGTATTTAGGAAATATCTACGCCACTAAGGATGTCATAAGATGGCTAGAATTCTACCATCTTTAAATAAAAGTCTCAATTTAAATGCTGAGAATGGAGATAACCTTTCAGTAGAAAGTATTTTATCCCTTTTACGTATTTACTTATTGCGAATCTAAATTAATTAAAATAGGAGTATCATTTTCTACGTTGATACATTAAATAAAAGCAAAAAACTAAGGTTTAGATAACTTGTTTCAAAAATGAAAATTTAAAGGAAGAATCTCATCGAAATTGTTGCCTCGTCAAACATCTATCTTCTACGTTGATACATTAAATAAAAGCAAAAAGCTAAGCTTATCATAAATCATTGAAAAATGAAAAAATTGAAGGACGAAGCTTATCAAGATTATTGCTTTGTGAAACAATTGATTGTCGCTATCCCTAAGGTTTACTTTTGGGAGTTCGATGCAGAAGGTTTAGTTGAGCAGTGAATTAATTAAATGCATTCTCGTCAATTTCATGATCAGCTTTTGTGCCACGAGCATCACGCAAAGTGTCCAAACCTTTTCCATATACTAGTATATTTATTTAACTTTTGCTTCATATAGAAGTTAGGTTATAAAATAAAAAGGTCATTCCGCGTACAAACTATTCTATGCAGTGTAAAAGCTACGGATTCAATTGAATTCATAATTTGCTCATACCTTACATTTTTGCTCAAAAAATCATTAGATATGTACAAATAATAAATTTTGAACCCATTAAACTAGATGAAATGTATTAAAATTGCGAATATGAACCCATAAAATTTGAATCCTGAATCTGCATCTGCCCCAAGGGGTATGTTATAGGCAGTCTGCCCTGATACGAGATCCGTGGCAATTTAATGAAAATCATATAAAATAGATTAAGCTTACTCCCAAATCCGAATTCGTGCATGGATCTACATATAAACACTAAATAGTTTAAAAAGAATGAGGAGCTTACACCCAAATCAGAATTTGGGAATTTTAGACAAACACTAACAAGCAATATAGTTAGAGGATGGGGTATACAAAGGAAACCGACAAACCGCACCAACTTAATAATTCGAGTCAAACCGAAAAAAAACTCGACTATGGTTTGATTTGATTTGGTTTGGTGTTGGAAAAAAAATCCGATCATAATTGGTTTGGTTTGGTTTTAACTAAGAAAGTCAAACTGAAACCAAACCAACCCGATATGAAATATATAGAAATTTTATATATATTTAATATATAAATATACTTATTGTGATGTAATTTATAAATATTTCTTAAAAAATTTCATAATTTTATCTTTTAAGGTATTATTTCAAGGTTGGACTTAGAACTTTTGAATGTTCCAATAAGTTTTATAGCCATTAATATTAGTAAATTAAATAATGCTAACAAAAGGCCAAGCTAAAATCAAATCAATACTAATGCTAACAAAAGACATTCAATTCAATATTACGAAAGGGGATGTATTGAATATCTATTTTTTCTTTAGTGTTTAGTCATGTAATTAATACTCCCTTATTAGTCTACTTATTTTAACATGACTTAGTACTTTTAGGTTATGTTTATTTTTATTATGGCTTTTTAATTAGCAATATTTATATTACATAATTTATTATCTTTATTGTTGAATATTTTAGGATAATGTCATGGACACATCTCATATTTTGTATTATTTTTTTGGAAAATACTTTATATAGTTGTATCTTACTGGGATTAAAGAAATATTTTGAGCACATGTTATATGTTTTGTTCTACGAAGATTTTACCAGAAAAAAACTCGAGAAAATCCGAGAAAACCCGGAAAAAATCGAGATTGAAAAATTTGAGTTTTATTGGTTTGGTTTGATCTTTAGATTTAATAACCCGACACAATTAATTTAATTTGATAATTATAAAACCCGAACCAACTCGACCGATGTACACTCCTAGGAGTTGAGGGTTTGTTCTTCCATGTGCAGCGCAGTGGCAGGCAGCTAGAATGCTCCCATAATAGCTGAAAGGGAAAACTATTCCAAGTAAAATATTTCCTCTCGGAATGACTAGTGGTTGCATAAGCTGAAAAATAAAAGAAAATAGTATTCTCTACCCCCGGTCATTTTAGCAAATTGTACCAATTTATTATAGTTATGTCATTTTATTAAGTGCAAAATATATATTTTAATTAAGCATAACTAAGTGAGATGAATCTATGTACAAACACATATCATGCACTTGTTGATGTGTATAAACATGCGACGCGAGTAAATGTTTGCCGAATTCGGAGTATGAAAATCGACAAGTCCAATTTTCTGTGTAGAATCGAATGTGTACTTATTTTAATTTTTTAAATAAAAATTACATGTTTAAAAAATAATATTATATAAAGAGTTCGTACTAGAAATCACAATTTACACATAAAAAGTTTAAGAAATTGTTTAACTTTTCAAATAAGTAATTTTATAATATAGAAGGAAGATTAAGAAGAAAAAGCAAAAAATACAAACAAGAAAGAAAGTTAATCAGAAAACGCCACTGTTAATCCATCATGAATCTAACTTTCACTTACACGAAAAGGGAGAGTACGTGTCATGAATGCAAGTGTTAGGATAGAGTTGCTCCTCCGTTAAGTAGAGGTCTCGAGTTTAAGCCCTGGGTATGGAAAAATTCTTGGTAGAAAGTACTACCCCCGAATGGGGCCCTACTCGGCACGAATCCGAATATAGTCGGGCTCCAATACGGATATCGAACACCTGGTCGGAAACCAAAAAAGAAAAACTCCACATATTTACCATCGAAAAAAGCCAATCTTAGAAACGCGTTGGTATTTACTTCTCCTAATTAACTCCCTACTTTTTCTTATTAATTAATCAAGAGGAATTACCATTTTGTATTCACACACGCAATGAATATTATATTCGTTTATAGCAGGGGCGGATCTACCATGTAAAATATGATTCACGTAAACCCGTGGTCCTCGGGTTAAAGTATGGATATGATGTACATAATTTGAAAAAAAAATAAATATATATACTTGATGGAACCCATGATCAAAAGAGACTAAGTGGTGCATTGGTTTTGATCTCTAATAGCCTAAAGTCAGGGGATCAACAAAGAATACAACCTGTATCGATTGTATTTGCTAAGCGAGTGGTCAAACCAACTGAACTACAAGGACTTATTACTCTCTTGTTTTAGTTCAAAACAATTGATGTCTTGTTTCAATACTACACTTGATTTGTTATAAAATTTAAATACAACTATGAATGATAATTTTCTTAAAATATAGCTACGTACGAATGATAAATACAGTGTATATGTTTGTGTATCGCATAATTTTTCCATTAATCAATTTAACATATTACTCGTCGAAAACGAATTTGCAATCGCATAATATTGCAACAATTAAAAATAAAAAGAGAAAGCAATCAAATTCTTTATAATATCTTAACTGAAGTTTTCAACAAAGATTAACTCCCACTTGAGTGTTTCGTTGATTGCTGTGAGCACGTGATTTTTGCCTCACAAAAAATACTCTAAAATAAATCAAAAAATAAAACAAAATTTTCTTGGTATGCAATTTTTAGAAATTATGTGGCATTTGTTAAATATTTGTGTTTTGTCCGTAAATGTTTACTTTGTTATAATTGCATGCATATATAAGATTTAATTATGCATTTAAGAATTGATTAAATTCAAAAAGAAAATCGAAAAAATATGCATTTGTTCTATTTTTGTCATTTAAATGTGTCATTATGTGTTTAATGTTTTGTCTATGTGTTAATAGTTGTTAAAAGGTAATTAATATTTTTGTAAGGGTAATGTTTTATAATTAAAATTAGGAATTTAATAAGTAAAAGAAAAATAAGAAAAGAAAATTGGTTTGGGCCATTTTTAACAAAAATAATTCAGGCCCAAAATGGGTAATGACCCAGTCCAAGACCAGGTCTCAACCGGCTCCCAAACGACATCGTATGGGTATCATCAATCTGAGCCGTTGATCGAACAAATCAAATGGTTCAGGGCAGCCTTTGTTTGATATGAAACGACGGCATTTTAAGCAGTCAATCTGAACCGTTCATCTATCTTGATCCAACGGCCCCGAAGACTCACCAAGACCCGATCCACTTCACCCCCCGGGCCAACCCTTTCCCCAAACTTAAACCAAACGACATCGTTTGGATAAGTGAACTGATCCTGACCGTGGATCATGTTTGATCTAACGGCCTAGATCAATTCACCCCTCCCCTATATAAACCCCAAATCCATGCCCCGGCCCCCTAACTAAACACCCCCCCTCTCCTGTTCATCATCATCTCCGAAAACACACCCCTAACCCTAGCCGCCCTAACTCTCCATCGCCTGAAACCCGACGGCAACAACGCCGCCTGTCACCACCTCAACACCCCTGAACCCCCTAACTATCCTATATCCAAATCTGTTAGCCACTAAGTTCGAATCCTCCTGGAGGTTCTCGAATCTTCATTTGAAGATTCGAGCCAAACTCAGATCAAAACCAAATAGCCCCTAATTAACACCATAGCACCCCCTAACCTACCTCGTTGGATCTGTTGTTTGTTTGGCTCGAATCATCTCAGAGCTTCTCGAATCTTCATTTGAAGATTCGAGTCAAATATTAACTCAC